GTTATGTATTATATTAAAATAAGGGTTTAAAACGTGCTGATTTTGCGTGTCAAACATAATATTAACATAGGAGGGAAGGAGATCGAGATTGATGTTGGTAATGCTCAATCCCACATAGTGTTGGAAACACTATTGGGAATGGTATTTAAGGCTTGACATTCCACTTCCTTGTTGAGTGATAGAGAACAAGGGGGGCTCTCGCGCACCGCCGCCGCCGTCCGTCCGTCTCGTCTCGGCACGGCTCGGCTCGTGGTCGTGGTCGTGGTCGTGGTTTAATCCTGAAATTTTATGGACGACTTTAACCCTATTTCTAGCCTATAAATAGAGAGCTATATTCAGCTTCTCAACTCACTCCAAAACATTCACAATTCACTTACCAAAGTGTTTTCTAAAGTTCTCTCTGTGAGTTCTCTCTGAGTGCTTTCCGATCAGAAGTGCAATACCACCAGCAGTCCACTCCGGTTTCGGGTGTACGGAATTCGGAGCGACCGTGTTAACCTCGGGGGACGGTCCGCCTACTGCAGCGATTACACACATCGAGGCGAATTCGTTTCTAAGGCAGTGGTTCTTACCACGACACGGTTTACGAATCTGTTCTTCTTAATTACTGTTTATCTTTTCAGTCAGTGCTAACGGTGTAGTTTTGCGGTTCATATATCCAACAATTGAAAATCAAATGAGGAGGAATTTAGATAAATAGGCATTATATTAAAAGATTAATATTTAAATAATCAATATAAATTTCTTCAAGTTAAAATTATACGAGAAAACAACTTGAGTGATCGAAAATGCCTTATAATATATGATTTTAACTAATTTTTTTTTGTTTACAAAAATAACCAACGAATTCGCAATTCGATTTCGAATTCGCAACACGAAAGTCAAATTAACAACACAATTTTCGAATTCGCAACAAGAATTTATCAATTTCGCAACTCAGTTTTCAAATTTGCAACTCGAATTCGGATTTCGCAACTCGAAATCGATGTAAAGTCAAAAGAGCTAGATTAGTTTATTTATGAAGTCACCCACTTATTCTTTTTTCTGCCATTTACAACCTATAATGGAATGATTGCGACCCGAGATAAGAAGAAGATGAGATGGGGCATTGTTTAATAATCTGACAGGCTTCTTTCTGAAATGGGTTTCAGTTTTAAAGTCGAAGGAGGCCTACCGAACCTGGACAGAACAGGCTCCTGACCACACCCACCGCGTGGCTTGGATGCTGCTGCACCAGTGGCCCGATGAAGGTGACACGTAAACGAACCGGCGTGGCTTGTTGGAGAGCATATGCAGGGACATTTCTTGGTTCTGTTCATCTCCATCGCATGCTGTTTTGCCTTCATCAATCCGTCTCCCTCATTCGGTGGCCTGGGAATGAAAGATTTTATTTCATATGTAGAACACCAACGTGAAAGAGAAATCACTTTCTTCTTTGCACTGTTTAGTTAATTCGCAACTCAAATTAAAAGCCTTATCATACTGACATGAACTAATTTCGAGTTGTGAAATTGGTAAATTCGAGTTGCGAAATCCGAATTCGAGTTACGAATTTGAAAACTGAGTTGCGGATGTGGTAAATTCTTTTTGCGAATTCGAAAATTATGTTGCGAATTTAGCTTTCGTGTTGGGAATTCGAAATTGAGTTGCGAATTCGTTGGTTATTTTTGCAAACCTAAAAAAAGTTGATTAAAATTAGGGATGGCAACGGGGCCGTTTCGGGCTGGGTATTGGTCCCCTTGTCCCCGTCCCCGCTTAAAAAACTGCGGGGATTTAAACGGGGATCCCCATCGGGTAATCGGAGAAAACCGCGGGGAAACGGGTATCTCCGTTTAGCATAAACGATTATTTAAAAGGGTATCGGACCGGGTATATATATTTAAATTAAATATATAAATATAAATTAAATTTATTAATATTATATATATATATATATAATAATAATAATTATTTTTAATATTTATCGGGCCAGGTATTCGGGTAATCGGGGCGGGGATTACCAAACCCGTCCCGTCACCGTTTAAAACATTCGGTTTTTCCCCGTCCCCGTCCCCATTTATCATCTCTGAACCCGACCCGTTTAATTCGGTTTTCGATTTTTCCCGACGGGTTCAATTTTTTTTGCCATCCCTAATTAAAATCATATATTATAAGACATTTTCGGTTACTCAATTTATTTTCTCAAATTATAATTGCATATATATGTATGCAACACATATTTTTTCAATTGTCAATATTTGTATTTTGTATTTGAATTTCGTTCCTATTCTCGTTTTTCTTTTGATTAATTAATTATTCCTTTAAAAAAGATAATAATAGCATGGAATAATATGTTCAATTCATCATATCTGACACACTTCAATTAAATAAGAACACAAAAATTATATTTATTTTAAAAGTTGTTATTCTCTTTTATTATTAAAATTTTATTTCATTTCTTGTTTTTAATAATTACTTTTTTATTAAAAATACTTTCATTTATTGTGTAAATTATTTGATTAAAAAATATTTTTATGATTTTAAAAATTCTTAATTATTTTTTTCTTATTTCTTATGTTAGTTTTCAAGTTTTTAATCTTAAATGAAACCGGTAGAATATTTTGATGTTACTTATAATATAATATATAAAATATTATCAACTCATGAGCTATAATTGTATTAAATTACTAATATTTATATTAAATTGATAGGTCACCCATACGTCATGGATCTCGTTAAAAATCTCCCTAATAATGCACCAAGTCGATATCAACAATACTAGCTAATAGTTACATGCTTACTCGTTGCATTTCCTACTCCTTTTTACTAGCTAATATCTGCTTCGCATTCCTCTCATTCTCTTCCTTTTCTCTCTTCAACTTCTTGAATTTTTACCTTTGAGGCAACTCAATCGTGATAAAGTCTATGATATTTCCCTCAACGTCTAGGAGAACGGCTCCACCACTCGTGTTCCTTCCCTCAACGGAAGCATCTATGGAGAGTACATAGTACCTAAAATCACATTATACATGACATATTAATGTAATCATACATTCCTGTCAAACAAACCAAACACAATAATGTAACATTCCTAGTAATGTGTAAGATAATGTAACATCGGTAATCTTATTCCCGGAGGTAATATTACATTCCATGAACCAAACGCCCCCTTAGAGTAAATCTTATATAGTTAATGCAAAAAAACCAGAAGCCATATCCTGATAAAAAGGTTCTAGCCGAAAAGGCATAAGAGGTTTTTGTACTCTTGAAAAAAAATCAATATTACTCTCGTATTATTTTTTTTCTTCTCTTAATGTAGCATTCCAACTTAGAAAACAAACCTAATGTGGGTCTTTGACCAAAGTTTTTTCATCGTTAACCTTTACGGTGCTGGCGTTAGCAGTTCACGGTGCTGACATGGCGGTCTACGATGCTGACATGACAGTCCATTTGCCATATTTGAGTTACCAATTTAGCCCATCTGGCATGTCATCCGCCACGTTATCAACCACCATGGACTACCATGTCAACACCGTAGACTGTCACGTTGGTACAGTGAACTGCCACGTTAGCACCGTAATGGTCAATGACAAAAAATGTTGGTAAAAGAGCCACGTTTGATTTATTTTCTGAGTTAGAGGGTCGCCTTAAGAGAAAAAATAGTAGAGGGCAACATTAATTTTTTAAAAAGTACAACGACCTTTAATATATTTTTGCCAAAATTCTATCTTATTTGCTACAATAACTTCCTCTCTATAATACAATCTCCAAGTAGGATGTAAATAGAATAGAAAAGTAGCATAATTTTATATTTAAAGGGATGATATTTAAACAATATTGCTCCTTTTTTATCACAAAATTTGTTATTTTCTTTAGTATGCGGGTTAAGTTCTTTAGTACATAAGTTTAGGGCTGCCTAGAATTTTCTAGGATAAACTAGTGTTTAGTTGCCCACTTATTTATGTAGTTTTATTTTGATCACCTAATTTTTTTTCTGTTTTGGTTATTTATCATTAAAAAAATATAAACAAATTTGCTGACGTGGAAGTTTTTATTTTTTCAAATATGATGTGGCATTACCTTATGGTGACACGTCAACATCATCGTTATTTTTTAACGGTGGGTGATCAAAATGAAACAAAAAAGTAATATTATGTATGATGTTGAAAAAATAATAATTTGATGACTAAAACAGAATTGCATGAGTAGGTGGGTGACTAAATGCATAGCTTATCCAATTTTCTAGGTAAGCTACGCATTTAGTACCTAAACTATCAATTTTGGTTCATTTTAATACGTAAACTTTCGTTTTTTTTAAAATCATACCTAACGATTAATTTTTGTTTTGTTTTAGTACATCGCCGTTAAATATGTAACTGGTGATTTGCATGTGACACCTTTTTTATGAGTAAACTACATCATTCATCGCTCAGCTATCTTTTCACCCCTATTTTAGTTACTAAAGTTTTTTTTTAATTTAATTGCCTAACATTTAAATTTCCTTATTTAATCACTCTAACTTTCAAAAAAAAATTCTAGAGCATTTTAACCATCAACATTTCATTTGAAGTAAAAAAATGTTTTAAAACATTAATTGTATGTTAACTAACGATTTCCATCTATATAAGAGACTTTTTACCCCAAAATATAACGTTGGGGACAAAATACTCAAAAAAAAATAGAGACCAAAACAAATTTTGGCATTATCCCACTATAAAATATAAGACTTATGACTCAATAGAAAGGTATAAAGACTTATGACTCAATAGAAAGGTATAAAGACTTATGACCAAAGGATACACTGCATTCATTCAATTTAAACCAGACACTGCTTAATGCATGACACAGGATATTTACAACAAGATTGAAAGTATTTCTCCATATTTTCACTCAAATATTTTTACCTTTACTGAGTAAACAATATACGTGTAAATGCACATTCCCTAGAAGAGGTAAAAGTAAAAGAAAAAGGACATACAAGTAATGAGTAAGGGTGAGAAACAGTGAAATCAGTTGTCCCAAACACAACAAACAAAACTTGAAGACATGTATACATCATATACAAACCTCAGACTCAATAATTGGCCACTTTCCTCCAAGATACATACATTTCTTATATGTGGAGGGATGAGTTCCTAAATTGTTTTACACCACCTTTTACGTAAAATTAGGCTCCGAGAGCAGGACAGAGAGAGAGAGAGAGAGAGACTTCCTTCCCTGCCTATTGCTCCTCAGCAGTAAAATCAGGCTCTGCAGGCTTCTGAAGCAGTATAGGTGGAATCCTCTCCGTCACTCTTGCTTTACGGCTACGGTTTTTCCGTAAAGCACGAAGTGCATTGGCAGCGAACCGAGAGGCATAAATAGTGGCACCCAGACTTGGTGAACTCCCACCAGCATTGGCTAAAGCATCTTGCAGTCTATTCTCTTCTTCTCTAAGAGATTCTTCAAGTTTCTTTTTGCTGTATCGGCGCCAAGCTGCTTGTATAAAACAAGCTGCCCAAGTCCTCCACTGCTGCGAATAGAACCTAAAAGTGTGGCGCAGCTGCTTACTGTGAAGCCGGCGGAACTGAGAAGCAACAAACTTCAAGTCATCAGCCATCAGAGCGAAGGCTTCAACTTCTGTCAGAGCTCGAACGGTTCTAGTCGAGATAGGGAGGTTCGACGAAGAATGGGGATCCAGTGCCCATGTGAGAAGTTCCTCTCCACAGAAATCCCCTGCCCCCAGATATTCAGAATTAAAGAAGCCAGTTCTTCCACCATTTGTTGTCATGGTCAATAGTTTGCCCCTCATGATTAAGAGCATCTCATCAACTGGGTCTCCCTCCCGAACAATGTAGCTCTCCTCCGTGTAGAGAACTGGCTTGAGGCGATCACACATTGCATCCAATAATTGTTCATCCATTTTCTCAAACATCGGTACCTTAACCATCGAAGCAAATGAGTGAAACAACCAAAATTAGTGATAGGTAGTGAAAACACAAGTCAAATAATAACATCAATCTTATTCCCCGAAAAGGATGCAACTCATTTAAAACAATGACCAGAACGTCAAGGCACCCACTCTCATGAGCAGAGCCAAACAAAGATGGCGCTTTATATCCCTTCTTAGGTCCTTGGGGAGATTACAAAGTAAATTCTCTTCATCAACTCCTCTAGTTTCTTGCCACCTGTATTGTTCGTATCGTCTTATCCGCTCTCTTAGACTCTCAGGTAGTAAGCGGTGGGACATCCATTGCTCTGCATCACGTCTTTTCACTCGCATCTCCTCCAACCTGGTAGTGGTGGACTGCAAATATGTCTGTTTCACAGAGATTTTAGTCCTTATGTCTGAGTGAAGTTTAAGTATTCACACAACTATATATACTAGAGTTATTTGATATTTCCTGATTTTCTGGAGACAGCAACTGGAAAGAACTGCATTGGTAACAGCATGACTCATGTATTTCCTATTTATTGCAAATAAGCATTTTATTTAGGCACTGGCTCTTGCAGCGGCTTGCTGGTTTGTTGTACCTTGTGCTCAAAGCCCACGAGCCACGAGTCCATGGTTCGAGGGCCAGTATCCTCAGCTGAGGAATCTTTCAAAGGCATTTTATTTAGGAAAGAAAGAGAGAGAACAATAATACTTGGACATTATAAAATATATGAAATAAACCAAAAAGCTTCAGCTATTTTAAACAGTTATCTTATGTTCTCAGACGATATGTTATGGCATCCAGTGGCAAAATAGCGTGAGTAGCATTCAGCTCACACATGAGATTTTCAAATATAAAAAAGATAGAAACCTACAGAATACAAAGAATTCCCAACGGTCATGTCTTACAAGAAATTAGAGATCAGTTCCACTGCTATAAAACAAAAAACTCGACAAAAATTCAAAGAATGCAGATGTTTGGTACAAACCTGCATATTTCCAATGAGAAATGAAAACAGAACCAAGCCCGAGATTGAAATGAAAACTGCAAAGCAGATCTCGAAGACATAGGTACTAGTCTTAAGATTCTGACCCAGAGAACTGCAAAAGCAATGGGCAAAAATATATCACGCAATGCTGTCAGATTTTAATAGCACTATGCTAACAGAATGAGACAGGAAACAAGAAAAAGGTTAGTCGATTCATACACAACAAACTTAAAAATCTCATTTGGACTGTAGACGGACATGGATTCAACAAGTCTAAATATAGAACACAATTAAGACTAGTGTCAACTCTGCCCCCTTACAACCATTTAACCACAGTTTTTTAAAGCACCACAAGGGCTATGAAGCGTGATGCTCTTTCATGAATTAATCTCATTACATCACACTTTGAGCTATAGCACTAAAACATTGCTTCCCATCTACCTCAAGAAAGAGAAATGAAAAAGTGATGAAAATTTTTATAGAAAAGGAGAGATGATTATACCCAGACTTTTTCCAATTATAATAACTTTCATGAGGAAGGTTTATCACAATATATGCTCCGCATTCATATTTCAACTAACCACCCCTTCAAGGCAAAGATTATTGATCAAAACGAGGGTAATTATTTTATCAAGATTCTAAGAGGTCACGGTTCTTAAGTTAACCAGACAACTAAATTAGATACTTACAGAATGTTGAAAGAGAACATTTTCTGGAAAGAAATACTAGTAGAGCGATTACATTTATGAATCTTGTTGATCCAATATGAATACGATAAAAATAAAATAATAACAATAAAAAGACAAAACAAATAAAGATAACTGCAATGATGGAAATTGGGAAGATTAATGATACAGACAAATACTAAAACTAGTTTCCAAAAAATCAGAAGTTGCATGCCAGTAAGTAAATTTAAGTCTGGTTTGTATATATCTATATATCTAATTATAATAAAAGCTACTAGAGATTAAACGCAAGTAATCTGAATACAAAAAATTAGCTAAAATATAGCCCATCTAGTGAAAGGAAACAAGCAATGACCGGTAAACACTCAACGGGAAAAGGAAAATAAATGAAAAGCGTCTTATCTAGCACACCTTAGATTTTGCAGTCCCCACCAAAAACAGTAAAAAAATTTCTCTAGAAAATCTTCTGACTCCACAACACCTGATTGAAGGGCATCAAGGAATATCCCAAAATTGAAAAGAGTCGTGTTGGGTGTTTGTATTGGACACGATTCATTCAGCAACACACTAAAAGAAGAATCACCATCACAGTAAAATGAACGGGGGGAGCATTCAGCATTATTCCTACAGGCATCTTTCCAGCATGTGTATTCTCTTTCAATGGAAAACAAGTACCAAAATGCCCCAAAAACCTACAAGAAAAGCTAGTCATTTTACCATTATAATATATAGCAGAAGAATTATTAAGCTCTAAGTCATAATGATGTGTGTGTGTGTATTAAATACAGCTCCAGGACTTACGAAAAAAACTAGATTACGTATCATTAAAAAGTTTATATGACGCAACTGAGAAAGTAACACCCAGACAACATATATCCTATAGTTAGTTCTATGGCAAAAATTAGCATGCTTAAGGTCTTGGGATATAGGGATACATCCTCCAAAGAGGACGTCAGTTTTAGTAAAAAATTAAGTAATCAACTTTAAAACATAAATGCTCGATTTCAAGGCACCATTATTTAAAAACAACTTTTTAACAAAATATTGCCGATAATTTATTTTCAGAATTGCAGTGATATTAAAAATGAAGAAAAATTGAACCTGTTGATCATGACAATAATAACTATTCTTTGTGTAGCATTATGCATGTATATGGTCGAAAGTTAGATAGTAATCAACAACATTCACATTTCAAAAGTTATGCAGAACTTTTCTACCCATTTCAATTAAAATATTAATCCAAAACTAGCTATGGCTTTACAAATTACCATACTCCAGCTTCAACTTCTATTTTAAACAATATATATCACTTGTTTGCGTCCTGGAAATTATAGCCATTGAAATAGGATGGATCGACTTTAGAGGACATGAATAAACCACCAAAATCATGTGGCAAGAGATCTGCTCTTCTTCCCTGCTATTTTAATTGTGAAATGACTAGAAGCAATAAACCACTCACAAAAGGTACATCCACAAAAGCAAATATCAGAAAAGGCACATGCTTATTGTTAAAAATATTCTAATACTGGTCTAGCAGACTTACGTGGCTTGCTAGCATGTAAAGAAACAGATTGAATGCAGCTCCAGCCCATGCAGTCTCAGTTAGTATGCCGGAAGTCCTTGTAATTTCCTTATACAGTGGATATATTCGAAAAACTCTTGGCAGATATTGGAAGAGAACAATAAATGTCAACAAGTTCTTCGTATTCAATGTCTTTGAACCTCTCATTTGTGGTATGACAATTAAAATCACCACCTGGGAAACAAACAACAAGTTAAAAACCAAGCTAATAGTATCAAACTAAATGATCATGCATTTGTAGGTTGAAAGAAAGAAGTTTCCATGACAATGGACCGTGATAAAATAGCATATTTCCATTAAATATGCAAACCATAATTAGTTGGAGCAATTAAACTTATCCTTTGACCTAATGGCAGATTATAGAATGATTCAACAACTCAGGATGCAATGAAATTTCTCAATAAAATTTACAATTCAAAGCACATAACATGAGGTTCCCTCTCACCCTATAAACTAAAAAGATTCATCCACACATTTCATTTCAATTTTAAAGCCTAAATATAGTATGACCAGCACACATAAATCAGTTAAATGCCAGAGGAAGAACCTTTTCACGGGCCCAATAATGTTTCTTACCTGTGGCAGGGGAAGAACTGCTAGAACATCGATTATGAAGTATGATTGCAGATACCTCTTTGCTATTGCCAATGAATCTTCAACTAAAACCCCTCTTCCAAATACACGAGAAGAGGGTGCAATGAAGCCAGTATGAAACTGAAAAATTATATGGATTATATAAAAGATATCCGTGAAAGAACGCAGCACACTGGCTGTAATCTCCATCTTTTCATCCAAAACAAGACACTTTTTATCATCATTAATCACAGGTACGTAAAAGAACAAAGGATCAATTGAGACTGCTAGGATACATGACAGTAAAAATATCTTGTTCCACCTTTGAAGGAACGGCCCCTGTGGATCAAGAACTTTCTTATTAGAACCAAAACTGCGATTGAATGAATAGATTTAAATGATCTTCTAATCCCTTTAAACCTTTCAGAACTTGATTCAACCCCTCTTTGAAACTTTTCTGAAAATGAATTCATTTTGAACCTAATCTTCCCCAAATTTATCCTGTTATTATCAGAGAAATGTCCTTCAGTGCTTCTCTCTGAGTTCCAGTCCTCAAACCTGGAAAAAATCATTTAATTGAAGAAATCAGACTATCATTTCATGTACCAAAAAGATCAAATGAAAGGGAAAATCAACACCATCTACTAATCACACGATGTATAACATTTCTCCAGCACGATATATAATTGTTGTCATGTAAGAAATGAGGCACCAATCGGAGATGCATATGAAACTTCAGCTCAATCAAAAGAAGTGTTAGTTTTATTTAAAATATTGGAAAACATAGGGTGTTGAGTGTCGATGACAGTAGCTACAACCGATGAGAATTGGTGACAGCACCGTCCGGAAATGCGGTCAACATGAACATCACTTGGAAAAACTGCGTATCTAGTACAATCTTAATGGTTTTAGAATAAAAGACAAAGAAAGTACATATAAGAATAAGACCTATAATTAAGCACAACATCCACTCAAAAAACATATCATTCCCCATAACAAAATCAAAGGACAAAATAATAATGTACTAACCTCACAAGCTTCTCTTGAGGATAATTCATAGCTATAACCTTCCCAATGATCCCACCTGGCCACCTCCAAGAGAAGAAAGATCAGCTCCGAAACACAATCGAATTTAAGGAACTTCTCAAATACAGCAGAAATCTTATTGCCAGATGGCCCAGACCCTAAAAAGACAAAAAAACAAATGTACAAAAAAAAAGTTACAGACACAATTAGGAACAAACTCAGAGGCAAAATAATATACTATTGCATACACATTGAAGATATCAAAAACCATACACATCCAAGACAACTGGAAACCAGTCATCAAATTAGTTGTACCCAATCACTAAAGAAGCTGAAACAATAAATTAATTGGCTACTCTCCTTTCACACTAACAGCTCGATAAATCGTTGCACAATCATAATAATTAGTGGCAAAAAAGAATAAAGAAAGAAATTAGCGTGAAACAAGAGTCACACATAGCGTTTTTCATAAAGCTGCAGACAAGCCACTGATTCCAAATGACCAAACACCAAAAATATCTGGAGAAATGGGTACCGTAATAAGAAGTAATTACATGATAATTAAAGTAAAAAAAAAAAAAGAACAATAATAAAGAAGATTAAAAAAAGCAACTTTTTCTTTTAAAAAATCAGTTCTCAAAGCAATTAATCCTGTTTGTGAAACCAAGGGACCCTAAATTTTCGGGAAATTTTAATTTCAAAGCACTCCTCTACAAAATTGAAGACTGAACTATAAATCAAGTAAAACAAATTTTAAAAAAATACAGGAGATAAGGGGAAAAGGAAGCTTACAAGGGAAGAAATCAGACTGGAGTTAACAAACAGGATGGAAGTGAATTATTGTTATTGAAACTAAAAGCTCCTTCTTTACTAGCTTGTTCAAAGAGGATATGGGGAAGAAATTTCTAGGAAAGGGTCTCAGATTTTTCTTTTTAATTTTTATTTCCAATAAAAACCAGAGAAAGTGGTCTTCGGGTAGCAATAAATTATTGTGAAGTAGGTTCCACAAGGAGAATAAAAATGGGTAAACTATACTTTTAGTATCTCAACTATAAAGTTTGTTACGTTTTGGTCACTCAATTATATTTTTCAAAATCATAATTAACGTTATATTTTTCAAAATCATAATTAACAGAACTATTGATATAATATTTTTCTCAATAATAATATGATATTATCTCATAATGATAAGTCAAAATCATTGTTATTAATATGTATGCTTTTTTAAAAATATAATAATTGGCTGACAAAAAAATAAAAGTACTAATAATTAGGATACTAAACGAATAATTTACTCGATAAAAAAAGCTTTGTACTATTACTCTAGGGGTGCGTTTGGTTAACGGAAAGATTATCAGTGAGAATAAAAGATTACCAGGGAATAGGATTACTAGGAATGTTGTATTTTGTATTTGGTTGGTTTAGCAGGAGTGTAAGATTACCGTGTTTGATTAAAGGAATAAAAGATTATTAGAATGTATATTTGACCAAATTGTCCTTATTATATATTTGTATAATATTATAAATTGTAAAATATTTATATATTTTTTTAAAAAAAATAAATTCATAATATTTATATGACTTTTTTTACAAAATTAAAAATATAAAAAATATTTAATAAAATGGTAAAAAAAATTTAACCCCTGAACTTCATATAAAATTTTAATTATAGACTTTTTTTTGTAAATCTAAAATAATTTAAGGATAAATTTATAATTTAACCTTCGTAGAATTTTTATTATTCAATGACAGAAGAATGATTTTTTTGAAAAAAAAATAATAATTTAAGGGTATTTTAGTCCAAAACGCTAGTAATGTTACAATACCTAAGGGAAGGGATGTAATGACATTCCCGGTAATATACCCCAAAAAATCTACTATTGGTAATAAAATATTACCGAGAATGAGATTCTCAGTCAACTAAATATGGAGAATCCCACAATCCTTGAACCAAACATCCCCTAGAAGTCTGTTACTCTTAAAAGAATTTCTCATTCTCTTGGCAGTCCGGTTTTTTTTCACGGTCCAAGGTTGACTCCACTGTACGGTTCAAGACCATTTGCGCTTACAGGCTACAGCGGGTATTGTCGTGGAACTTTATATATTTTGAATTTTTGAATGAGGTGAAATGGTGACGTGGCGACATGTGATTGGGAAGCGTGGAGTATGTTTCTAAACACGAGTCCAAGTGGATGCAGAGATGAGATTCTCAACCAACCACTACAGATTTGGTTGACCTGACGGAATCCGATACTAATCACGGACCAATTTTCTCTAATGGATATCCTCTGTTCCTTTTATACTCCCCCCCCGTCATTTTCAGATGCTGATCATTTTGGTCCATTATGATCCTGCGAGTCAAGGATTGGCCTAAACGGGACGGGATGTCACTCCTTAAAAATTTAAAATTATATATATTTTTATATTTTTATATATTTTTTATTAAAAATATATTTTTATCTTTCTAAAATTTTATAAGTTTAAATTCACGCCCTTAAATTTTTACAAATTTATATTTATCCCCTAATATAAAATTCTACGTCTATCATATTGCGAGTTTAAATCTTTACTATCACAAAAAGTGGATTTGCCTCTAGATGCAAGTAGATTTTATGTTGAACGTACTTGTGAACAAAATGTTAGTTAATACTGAAGTGGTAGATCCAAAAACTTAAAAATTTAAGTCTAATTTTTTTTAATAATTAGTCTGTAAAAAAAATTTATTATCACATTAAATTTAATTTAATTTTTTTCTAAAATAATGAGGATGCATTTGGCCCTTGTAGAAGTTTAATGCATTGCATCCCTCTAGTCAGGTGTTGTAATTAGGGATGGGCATGGGATTCGAACCCGATGAGTTTTTACCCGACCTAACCTGACCCGATCGGGTCAGATTCTTTTTTAAAAAAATTCGGGTCGAGTTTAGGGTGAAAAATACTCGACCCGACCCAACCCCTAAAAAAATATAATTTTACCTTTTATATTTAGGATAATTACAATAATATCCATCTATATATTATTTTTTCAATTAAATTATTGTTTTTATTGAATAAAATAATATTTTTATTATTTCGAATCGAGTCGGATTCGGATGTTATTTCAAAAAGTCAAGTCGGATTCGGATTATGTGAAGGGTGTATATTATATGGGTCGGATCAAATTTCGGGGTGGAGGAGTTATTATTCTCAGGTCGAGTCGAATTGACCAAAAATCCTACCAATGCTCGTCCCTAGTTGTAATATACCTAATCTTATTGTTAGGGGCTTAGACTTATGTATGTCATAAGCTGAAAATGTGTTTGAATAAATTTATTGACTAAATCTATTCAGAATATATATATTTCAATTTCACATGATAAAATGTCAATTATTTTGTCAAAAGTTAAATATTTAATGTGTATCTCAAGAGATAATACATTAAAAATAATATATTTTTCAAAAGTCTATCCCCTCATCATCTTCATAAGAATATTAATATAAATATTTGATGAATTTATTCAAGTGATAATTTAGAAGATTTATTTACTAATTTATTATCTGTTCAGCATTTAAAGATCATATTCAATATTGAAGTATAAAGACTCAATCTTATACAGGGGTAGATGTACATGGCTCCATATTATCTGTTTCAACATATAAAGGTTATATTCAATATTGAAGTATAAAGACTCAGTCTTATACATGGGTGTATGTATAGGACTCCATATTATCTGAGTCAGCATATAAAGATTATATTCAATATTGAAGTATAAAGACTCAACCTTATGCAGGGAAGGATGTACAGGGCTCCATAGGAGAGTCATTGTACACCTATTATTTCGATAAAAATACTAAATTTAGTTTAGTTTACTAATGGAAATAAAAAAAAAGTGCACACTCAAAATTTTTAGAATAGCGTATTAAAATTTTGAACCCCATTTTTTATTTTCTAGATCCGCCATTGATCTTATGTGATGTTATCAAGAGAGAGTAAAAAACATGTTGCCTTATTAAAAAAAATTCCAGAAAAATTTAATGAGTATTAAATATGTGTACACCTTTAATTTTACTAATTTTTTTGTCACAAGTAAAAATTTAATTAGACATTATTTTAATAGACATCTAAGGAGAGTATTATTAATATTTGTTTGCGTAGATATCTGTTATGATTATAATATTATATATTAGTAAACTTTGATGTAACTTTATTATTACGATTTTCTTTTTAATTAGGATTGAAGTTTTATATAATATCTGCACAAATCGATCTACATCAATGGTTAAAGAGGTAATTGTTATCTTCAGAGATCACGAGTTTGAATACATTATTGCATAGTATTTGAATGTTCATTATCAAATGATTGAGAGTCTCTAAAACATATATTAATACTTGTAACCACTCTAAATTAATAAAAAGATCTATATAACATCCATCCTTAATTCTTTACATCTATAAATATAGAATTTAGAGAAAATATTGTACATAATTTATATAAAAATAATAATAAAATTTTCTATTCCTTATTTTTAAAATTTTATTTCTTTATTTTTGTATATATTGTTCTTCTTCTTTTTATTACTTTATTCTTATTATTTCATAATACATATAATAATTAGAATTTAAAAGTAGAATAAAGTAGAAAAATGGTCCTCTTACTATAGGACACTATTTTATTGAGTTCCTTGATTGTTAAAAGTTATAGAATAATCCATCAATTATAGAGAGTTGCTATGTTAAGTCATTCGATAATAAAGTTACAAAGTTGTCACTCTACTATTCATTATGTTCTAAACTCGTCTTTTTTCGTTAAAAAATTAACAGTTATCTGAGTTGGACGTTAACATGTTGTCTAAGATGTGATAATCGTTTTAGATTATGCAATCATGTTTTATCAGGCCCGACCCAATACATGTGCCAGATGGGCCTTAGCCCAAAGCAGCATATTTGAGGAGGCATCAGTTTTCAAGTACTTATCTAGCACATCTGGCACATGTATTGTGCACTTGCCCTTTTCTCTCCCAGCTTACAGCTTTGGCATTAATCCTCTTCTTTTAATTAGACAATTCAATTATTTGTCGGTTGAATCATATATTTAAATCATAATTCTGTAATCACTTTAGGTTTAAAATTTAATTTATCAATACAATAATTTGGTCCCAGGTAGTTCTTCAGCCGAAGCTTTATATATTGATGCTTCACGACTATAAAGGGTTTGAGTGCATCAGGAATGTATTCAGGAACCTTGAGTCAGAATTATTAAGATTCATATCAAACAGGCGTGATTACATCATTCAAGCTATCAAAGGTAATTTGGACATTTTGATTACTAAAAGATTCTTAGTAACTTAGTCCAACAAAGGTAAAACGATGACTTACAGAATATATGATTCATGTCGACTTATCAGGATATTGGGTCAACTCGAACTGAATAAATTACAGCACTACTATACATGCCAATCATTCAGACCATGATACCTTATGAATATTTACTTTTTAACATTGACTGCACTAATTAAATTGATCACCTTTAGAGTCATCGCTGAACGAATCTTAAAGAATTGAACTAGTATTTCGGTGGCATTATTTATTTCTGTAATACACTCGTATCCAGTGACCCTTAAACCTTAAAAATGACAATTAAGTGATCACAATTATAATAATAACTAGATGACGAAATACTTAAGGATTTTTTGGCCCTTTAAGCCAGGCAAAGAAATTAATTGACCTAATAGGTTACTTGCGCGTTTATTTTGCAATCTATGACAATTATCACAGTGAAGAACGAATCGATAACATCATTGTTATAAGTTTTATGGATAGTAATTTATTTTTAAATTAAGTAAAATAATTTATAAATTAAAAATATTTTTTTAAAAACTACTAAACTCGTCACGTCGAGGAGATGTGTTATCT